GAAAGTGATGAGTGGGGGCACCACTATTAGTGGGACAGTGATTGGAGGAAAAAGGATTTCTTGCCTAGGACTAGGGATGAGGAGAGGTAGGGCTGGCTTTATGGGTGGTCCTGTGCTTGGTTTAATGTTCTCTTGCCACCAGCTTGACATTCTTAAGCTTCAGAGTAAGGGGACCTGCATTTTCATTTTGCCTTGGGCCCCACAAATGATGTAGCTGGTGCTGGGGAGAGGGAACCTCCCCAAGGCAGATGCTGCAACTTTGCTGAGAGACAGGCTGAGGAGGCCTGCGCCCTGCAGAGGGTAGAGGGAGATATTTTGAATGGAGTCACCCCTGCCTTCTCATCTGGAGTATCCAAAACCTCCAAGGTCCCCAGCACAGAGAACCTTTAAGAGGGAAGCCAGTGCAGAGGCAGAGCTCGGGTTTGCTCCTTTGGCCCACTGCTGAGGTTACAGCGTGAGGGGCTCTGGCAGACTGGTCTTGGAGGTCAGATCTGGCCTACAGTTGGTAGGAGCCAGAGAAGAAGCCCAGGTTCTTAGTCTGCTTCCCTCTCCTGTCTCTCCAGTTCTACATGAAAACCAACTGACCCACACAGACTTGAAGCCAGAGAACATCCTGTTTGTGAATTCTGAGTTTGAAACCCTCTACAATGAGCACAAGGTATGGTGGAGGGAGGGCAAGGCCCCACTCCGAGGCTGGGTTTACCCACTAGGACAGAGTCTTGACCTGGCTCTCCTTCCTCGCCTCTCAGAGCTGTGAGGAGAAGTCAGTGAAGAACACCAGCATCCGCGTGGCTGACTTTGGCAGTGCTACCTTTGACCATGAGCATCACACAACCATTGTGGCCACTCGTCACTACCGCCCACCTGAGGTGATCCTTGGTGAGTGACAGTATAGCCCCCAACCAAGATAAAGTGTGCAGTTGCTGGGAGGGAATGAATAGAGGAAGTGATGTACCTGCTGCCACCCAGGGCCAGTGTCATGGGTCACTGTGGTTGTCAACTTGACCTTACTGAGAAAGGGAACTTGGGATGTAGGCAAGAGACCTGCCAGCCGGTGTGGCAGCTGCCCTGTGACCTCTAGGCTGGGAGCACAAAGCTCAATCTCATAGCTTTTCTCCATTTTAACTTTCAGAGCTGGGCTGGGCACAGCCCTGTGACGTATGGAGCATTGGCTGCATTCTCTTTGAGTACTACCGAGGCTTCACACTTTTCCAGGTAAGGCCCCCTCCCGCTTTGTTCTCACTACCCTGCGTGCTGATATTCTGATACACCATAGGGTACTGGTGTGGGAAGCCCTTCTTAAGCCCACCAATCAGCATGTTGTGAGATTCAGACTCTTGAGGGTTGTAGATGCTTAGGGGAAGGCAGAGGTCAGGGTAGCTGAAGCAGTCAGCGAGTCTTAAGCTTAGCCACCAAGGATGGAGGACTGGGGCCAGAGGAGTGAGCATTCGAGGAAAGAGGCACATGAGTGAGGGTGTGGAGATGAGCTGGGGTAGGTTATGTTCTGGGTAGAGAGTGAGGAATGTAGCAGGCTACCACAAGGCCAAAGCTGGGAAGGTACTTGCCCATCTTTTTTGTCCCTTATTCTTCTTGAGGGACTGAAGCTGGTAGTGACCCCCGCTTGCTCTATCCCTGACTTTCTATAGACCCATGAAAACCGAGAGCATTTGGTGATGATGGAGAAAATCCTAGGACCCATCCCATCACACATGATTCACCGTACCAGGTAAGGAGCCTGGCCTAGGGGCCTTTCCCATCTTGGCTATGGGTCAGCAAGCTACTAGATAAGTCTTTGCAGAATGTTCCATGGCTCCTCCAGGCTCATAGCAGCCTTCACTGTATGCTTGAGTGGCCTCGCAAACCTGCTGCCCAGAGCTTCCTGCCCTGCTGAGTCAGCCCAGGATCCCGTCTGGCTTTCCTGCCATTCCTTAGGCTGCTGCTGTCTCCCCCACTCCCCACTCAAGACTTGACCCCCTCCCTTCATTTTCAGGAAGCAGAAATATTTCTACAAAGGGGGCTTGGTTTGGGATGAGAACAGCTCTGATGGCCGGTATGTGAAGGAGAACTGCAAACCTCTGAAGGTCAGTTTCTGGCTTCCCCCAGCTCAACTCATGCCAAGGAGACCCCAGGCACTGGGCACACATAACAGCAGAGAGACAGGCCAGGCAGCTAAAGGCTGCCCCCTCGCTCCAGCTGTATGGGAGGCTGCACTCAAGGCTGCTGGGTGCTGGCAGTGGGTGCTTCTTGCAAACTGCCCCAGAGGGGTCCTTAGCCCTACCCCTTCCCCACAAGGTGGCTATGAATATAATTGGAAGAGCCAAGTATCAGAGACCCTGCTGCTTCCTGTCCCCCTCTTCTCTCAATTTTGGGAAAAACTAGGCAGGACTGAGGTGAGGGGGAGGGAAGACCTAGACATGGCCAGGAAGCCTCTTTCAACTGCATTTGGTGCTCGGACAGTGAATTTCACAGAGGTGATTTCTGCTCACCTGTCAGGACTTTTGCATGTGGGGGCAAAGGCACCAAACCAGCAAGACACCCAATAGCCCGACAAGTTCAGAGCAAAATGCTATAACAGGCATGAAAAGGAAGGTGCTGCTCATTGTCCAAGAGGGCAGAAGTAGTTCTCCAGGAGGCATCACTACCTCCTCAACCCATGCAGCAAGTCTTCCCAGAGGCTGGGGGACCTGCTGTGGCTTCCCATGACCCTGCCATCACACTGAGGCACCTTGTGTCCCTGAGCAGAGTTACATGCTTCAAGACTCCCTGGAGCACGTGCAGCTGTTTGACCTGATGAGGAGGATGTTAGAATTTGATCCTGCCCAGCGTATCACACTGGCGGAGGCCCTGCTGCACCCCTTCTTTGCTGGCCTGACCCCTGAGGAGCGGTCCTTCCACACCAGCCGCAACCCCAGCAGATGACAGGCGCAGGCCACCACATGAGGAGATGGAGAGTGGGACTGGGCTGCCCAGCCCCTTTTCTCCAACCTCTAACCACCGGGCCCCAGGGCCAGAGCCACCCAACGAACAGTGCAATGTGAAGGAAGGCAGGAGCCTACTGGGGAGGAGACTTGATGCCCGGCTGCCAGAAAGCACAGATTTGACCTAAGCTATTTATATGTTGTAAAGTTATAATAAAGTGTTTCTTACTGTTTGTAACCCCTGGTACCAGTGTGTCCGTCTCCAGGCTCCTTGCCTTCTCCCTTCTGTATTAATAAAGTCTTTCTTAGCAGTTCAGCTTGTGGAGAGCTAAGTGACCCGGGCCAGGCACATAAGGCCTAGCCAGTGAAAACATCAGAAACTGGGGTGTCCCTCTGGGCCCAGGAGAAGAGCAGTTCTAGCCCTGAGGTGCTTTCTGAACTGTGCTAGAAGGCACCTGGGCCTTGTCCTGTACCTGTTCCCCTGCTGTACCTCTTGGCACTATGGAATCTTAAGGGAAATGGCCCGCTGCAGTTTTCCAGGCAGCATCTGGTTTTACTTATCTGTCCAGCCCTGTTAACTGGCTAGGACTTCAGGCAGTATGCGCTCAACAACTACGGCTTACTGAAGGCTGTCAGGCATAGGACAGCTTCTAGGGCTGGGGTGGCAGTACCTTACTGCAGCCTATAGAGCAAAATTTACCACAGAGCACAGGACTCCCATCATTCAGCTTTATTTTAGTGCTGGTTTTTGGTTCCCCAAGAACTGTATGAGTGATAGTCTTGACTACCTGACTGGGGCCCCTTGGGGACTGGGCACTGTGGGCAGGATATCTCTGAATAGAACCAAAGATAGATAAAGGAATCATGCTTTAATACCACCCGGGAAGGCTCAGACTGAGGGCAGAAAGAAGCTCCAGAGCCACCAGGGGAGGAAAAAAAGGTTTGGGCACAAACTCCTAGTGGCCCCGCAACACGGCCGTCATCCCCAGGGCCACTGCTACTTACTGGAGTGAGCAGTCTTTTGGGCCAGGGTTCTTCGAGCTCATTTGCCACTGTACCCAATCAGGGAGCCTCACAGCATCAGCAGGCAGCCAAAGCCTGTTTAATGGTTGCTTACTGAAATGCCTGTAATCCAGCACTGCTCCTTAGATTATGGCCCTGCCTCTAAAGAGAGGACCCCATCTTAGGAGCTGCTTGGCCCTGAGAGTGAGCAGAGGCTCAGGGAGGGATACACAGCACAGAGCTCACAGTCTCTGGCCCTCCCACTGCTGTAGACAATTTAACATTTGAGGGAGGATGGGAGGAAAGGAGGGACCAGCCCTCTCTGCCCTGCCTCATCTGCTCCTGGCTGTGCTCTTATACAGAAAATGACAAGTAGACTGAAACCCATGGTACCATGGCCTACCTACCCTGTGTCCATGATCCCTGGCAAGCCTTCACATTCACTCCCTTCATCATAATAGGTGGGCACAGAGCTGAAGGAAGCCTGAATCCTGAAAAAGGCTTTAAAGCCTTTTGCAAGGGCTGCTGCCAGGCAGAGGTGGCACCTGTTCTACCAGCCTCCAGGGCTTAGGCCTGCCATGGTCCAAAAGCTTAGTGCCTTAGGATCTGAGCTGCAGTGTGTTCCTGTGACTGAGCCTCCCCAGCTAGCTCATCCAGAACTAGCCACATTTTGGCATCTCTGAGACAGGGTGCTGGCCCTAAGCCTGCTCATCTAGAGTGGACAATCAAGAAGGGTTCAAATCCAGACACTAAGAACTGGGGTGGAGCCCAGACAGGGGAGGGACATGCACCCTGCTCTGGGATGACACCTATAGAAGACCACTTTAGGGGAAGGGCAGGGGTACGTATGTCTAGGAAAGGAAGTAGGGGGAGTGGTGGCCTAGGACAGAAGCACCAGGGAGCCTCTTCTGGCTCAGCACCAGGCCCCCACCGGGGGCCTCCCTAACACTGAACATTAAAGCTGTACCCTGAGGGGCTCTGGCCCCAGACTAAGCAAATGCTCAGTCCCCAGTGAGAGAGGGTATGGGGTTAGGGGACACTACTGGCAAGAATGGGCACTGTGGTCCTACAGTAACAATCTTATACTAACTGTGCTGAAAGCAACAGAAAAACAGTATAAAATTCCAGTACAGTAAAACCATCCCAATGCCACCCCACTTCCCTGCCTTTTTGAGTGATGGGAGTGGGAAGGAAGAAGGACCTTTGGAAAAAATCCCAGCATAAAACTTGGATCAGCTCAGGAAAAAGGGTCAAAAGCCCCCAAAACAACTCTGGTGGGGCTCAAAGCCTCCTCACAGCTCTCAAAATGAGTGGAGAGTGCAAGTGTGCCCTCTAGGGAACAGCTGCAGTGCAGCCAGGTGCACATGATGCAGAGGAAGGGCAGTCCAGCTGGGGAAATGAGGCAGTAGGGGAGGGAGGAAGACAAAGCCACAAGCTCTGAAATAGAGCAAGTACAGGCCCCTAAACAGGACCTACCCCACCCTGCAAGGCTCTTGTCCAGGCCCAGTGGCTGTAAACCTGAAACACAGTCTGTGAACTGCCTAAGTCTGTAAACAAAGCCCCACTGGCCAGTGGGGCCGAGTGCAGAGATGCTGGAGCCACTGTACACTCAGCCTGCTACCTGCCCCACAAGCCTGGTGGGAAAGCCTTTCCTGGCTAAGGGCAAGTGACAGGTCAGCTTTAAATATGATCTGTTCTCTCACAGAAGAAACAAACCCAAAAGAGAAAAAATTTAACAAGGTCCATGAAGCTTCACATCCTTAAGGCGTTTGTTGTCAAGTTCAGTATCACCAGCAGCAGGGGATTACAGGGTCCAGCCTGCCCAGAGCCCCTCTAGGCAGAATGCAGTGGGATGACAAACTTGCAGCCAAAGGGTGAGTGG